AAGAGAAACAACACCAGAATTTCATGAACAAAAAAAATAGCAAATATGTGGATATGTATAATAGACGAAGTTGGCAAAGTTTTCCTGTAAAGGGCCAGCCAGAGAGTACGTATTTAAGGCTTTGCAGGCCAAATGGTCTCTGTTGTAACTAATCAATTCCAAATTGCAGAGCAATAAAAACCATAGACAATACATAAACTAACAGGTCTGGCTGTATTCCAATAAAATTTACAGAAGCAGGTGGCAAGCTGGATTTGGCCTACAGTAACAGTCTGCCAATCCCTGTGATAGACTATGCTTTTCTTCTTAAATTCTTTAAAGTATGCAAAATAATTGAAAGCAAAATTTACATCACTGTCTAAAGAGATATTCAAACCATGTGGATGAAATGCAACAACTACAACACAGAGGAGGGTGAAGAAAGGAAACTACATGGTGACAAGATTTCCACATTTTAATTCAAGTAGTAAAACATAAATTTTAAGTGCAATAGGTTAACTGTATACCTAATTAAAATATATTCAACATCTAATGCCGGGTACCTCTGAGTATAACCTTATTTGACATAAAGCCTCTGTAGATGCAATCAAGTTTAAAAGAGATCATACTAGATTTGGGTGGGCCCAAATCTGATGGCTGGTATTTTTACAACAAAGGGAGGGAGACAGAGAGACATACACAGAACAAAAAAACCCTAAGTGAAGATGAGGCAGAAATTGGAGTGATACAGTTATATAAGCTAAAGAATACCAACAACTAGTGACAACCATCAGAAGCTAGAAGAGACAACAAAGGATTCTTCTCTAAAGCCTTCAAAAGGAACATGACCCTGCTCATGCCTCCATTTCAAACTTTTAACCTCCAAAATCAACACACAATATGAATTATGTATACTGGGAAAAAAAGTGAATTCACAATTAAAATCCTCCAGGCCCAAACAGTTTCACCAGTGACTTCTACCAACATTTAAAGAATAACAATTCAAGACATTTTCCAAAAAAGAGAACATGATGGATTACTTCCAAAGACATTTTTATGAGACTAACATTATAATGATACCAAAACCAAAGATAATTCAGGAAAAGAAAAAGCTTAAAAACCAATATTCCTCCTGAACATAGGTGCAAAAATTCCCAATAAAACATCAGCAAATTAAATTCAACAAAATACCTAAACACTAATAAACAATGTACAAATAAAGCTTACTCTGGGAATACATTTGGTCTCCTTTCTTCTCTCAGTTTCTTTAAATAACATGAAATCATATGAAGGAATAATAACAATATACTGTTGGGTTTATAAAATAATACCTGTAATATGTATAACAGCAGCACAAAAAAAAGAAAATAAAGCTACGCAGAAATAAAATTTCTACATTTCACTGCCATTAGTGTTAAGTCTGAAACAGACTCTGACACAGTAAGTTGCATATGATAAGCTCTCATGCAACAACTAAAAAAATACAAAAGAACATAGTGAAAATACCATTAAAAGAATTAAAAGGTTACGATGACGGGGGGGGGACGACACTTGATGCAAAAGAACACAGTAAAGGAAAAATTAAAAAAAAACAAGAAAACAAATAAAAATGGCAGACAGGTTATACTACATCAATATTAAATAAACAATCCAACAAAAGGCAGTGTCAGACTGTAACAAGTCAGAACCAATAAATTACATGTTGTCTGTAAGAGACACACTTTACACTCATGGTCACCTGGGTGACTCAGTTAAGTATCTGACTCTTGGTTTTGGCTCAAGTAGTGATCGCCCCATGGAGAGATTAAGCCCCATGTCGGGACTCCCTACTAAGCGGGGCGTCTTCTTCCCCTCTGCTCCTCCCCCTACTCACCTGCGTGTGTGTGCACTCTAATAAATAAATTTTTAAAAATTAAATTAAAAATGCAAATAAACTGAAAGTAAAAGTGAGGGGAAAATATATCATGAAATACTTCTACAGCCAATACCAAATAAATGGCTGCATATGTTCTTCCAGGACTTTTGTCGTTTTAGATCTCATATTAAGACCTTTAATACATTGGGTTTATTTTTGTATATGGTATAAGAAAGTCCTGTTTCTTTCTTTTGCACATAGCTGTCCAGTTTCCCTAACACATCTGCTGAAGAAACTGCCTTTTCCCCATTGCACATTCTTGCCTCTTTTGTTGTACATCACTTGATCACATAAGTCTGGGTCTATTTCTGGGCTTTCTATTCTGTTCCATTCATCTAGGTGTCTATTTTGTGCCAACACCATACTGTTTTGATTACTACATATTTGTAGTATGTCTTGAAATCTGGGATTATGATACTTCCAGCTTTGTTCTTCTTTCTCAAGATTGCTTTAGCTATGTAGATCTTTTGTGGTTCCATACAAATTTTAGAATTATTTGTTCCAGTTCTGTGAAAAATGTTAGCACTTTCAGAGATTGCATTAAATCTATACATTGCTTTGAGTTGTACAGACATTTTAACAATATCAGTTTATCTAATCCATGAGCATGAAATATCTTTCCATTTGTTTGTGTCATCTTCAATTTCTTTCACCAATGGTTTTTATAGTTTTCAGAACACAAGTCATTCACATCTTTGGTTAAGTTTATTCATAGATACTTCATTATTTTTGGTATAACTGTAAATGAGATTATTTTCATAATTTCTTTTTGCTACTTCATTATTAGTATATAGAATTTCAACAGATTTCTGTATATTAATTTTGTGTCCTGCAACTTTACTGAAATCATATATCAGTCCTAGCAGTTTTCTGGTGGAGTTTTTAAGGTTTTCCATTTATAACATCATGTCATCTGCAGATTAAGGTTTTACCTTTCTTACCAATTTAGATGCCTTTTATCCCTTTTCCTTGTCTGACTGCTGTGGCTAGGAGTTTCAGTACTATGTTGAATAAAAGTGGTGAGAGTGGACATCCTCATCTCTATTTCACTTATTTCTGCTCCAATCTTCACAATTTCCTTCCTTCTGCTGGCTTTGGGCTTGTTCTACTTACAGCTCTCTTAAGGGTAAGATTAAGTGGTTTATTTGAGATTTTTCTTATTTCTTCAGGTAGGCCTGTATTACTATAATCTTTGCTTAGTAGCTTTTGCTGCATCCCAAAGATTTTGGGCCATTTTGTTTTCATTTTCATTTGTCTCCATTTATTTTTTGATCTCCTTTTTGATTTTTTGGTCTACCCATTCATTCTTCAGTAACACGTTAACTGGCCCCCATGTATCTGCATTCTTTCCAGACTTTGTTGTGTGATTGATTTCTCGTTTCCTACCATCGTGGTTGTTAAGGATGCATGTTATGATTTCAATCTTATTTAACTCACTGAGATGTGTTTTGTGGCCTAACGTGATCTATTCTGGAGAATGTTCCCTGTGTACTTGAAAAGAATGTATATTCCACTGTTTTGGATGGAATGCACTGACTATATCTGCTGGATCCATCTGGTCTAAGGTGTCATTCAAAGCCATTGTTTTTTTGTTGACTTTCTGGAATATCTATCCACTGATGTAACTAGGGTGTTAAAGTCCCCTAGTATTATAATTATATTACTATCAATGTCTTCCTTTATGTCTCTTAATAGTTGCTTTATGTATTTAGGTGTTGCCATGTTAGGTACACAGATCTTTACAACTGGTATATCCTCCTGTTTGACTGTTCTTTTTATCATTTTGTACTATCCTTTTCTGTCTCTTGTTACAACCTTTGTTTTAAAGTCTATTTTGTCTGATACAAATATTGCCACCCCAGCTTTCCTTTCACTTCCATTTGCACAGTAAATGATTTTCCATCCCTTTCCTTTCAATCTGCATGTTCCTTTATGTCTGAACTGAGCATCCTATAGGCAGTATATGGACAGGTCTTGCTTTTTTATCCATTCAATCATCCAATGTTTTTTATTGAAACATTTAGTCCTTTTACATTTAAAGTAATTACTGATAGATAACTACTTATTGCCATGTTGTTACTTGTTTTACAATTATTCTGTAGCTCTTCTCTGTTCCTTTCTTTTGTTCTCTTTCCTTGTGATTAAAAACATTTTTCTAGATAATTCTCCTCAGGCAAGTAAAGTAAAAATAGAATTATACTACTGGGACTATACCAAAGCTTTCACAGAGCAAAGGAAATCATCAACAAAACATCTTCTCCCACCAAATGAGAGAAGATATTTGCAAATAATATATCTGATAAGGGGGTTAATATCTAAAACATGTAAGAAACTTATACAACACCAAAAAACCCCACAAATAATCTGATGAAAAAATGGGCAGAGAACCTGAATGATCACTTTTTCCAAAGACATACATACACAATGGAATATTACTCAGCTATAAAAAAGAACATCTTGCCATTTGCAACAACATGGATGGATCTAGAGGGTGTAATGCTAAGTGAAATAAGTCAGTCACAGAAAGACAAATACCGTATGATTTCATTTGTAGAATTCAAGAAACAAAACCAATGACCAAAGAAAAAAAGAAACAAAAAACCCCAGACTCTTAAATACGGTAGAGGAATGAAACAGCTAAAAGGGATTAAGAGTACATTTAACTTGATGAGCACTGAATAATGTATAAGAAAAATAAAAGTTACTTATTTGTGTCTTCAAAAATTTTTAAACTCCTTTTCTATCATTGTAGGCCAACAAAATCTGCAGAGTTTTAAAGGATTTTAAAAAGACTTCTAGCTCAATCTCTTACACATCTGCAAGAAATGAGTCCACAAAAATGACTCTTCATTAAGCTATCATGGAAAAAATGTTCTAGAGTTCCCCAATTAACCAATCTAGGACAACATAGTTACTGTCAACAAATTCTTACTCTTATGTAGCTAAAAGAAACCCTTTCCTAGTATTGAGTGAAAAGAAATATTACTATTATTACATTTTAGAACTCTAAAGTTACTTTAACTGTATTCATCAGCTATTGCCCAAAACTCAGAGACAACAGAAGTATTAGTTCTTTATTTTGACATTTGTGGGTTGTTAAACGAACCTCAGCTAGGCTGGCATCAAGCTGCTGGGCTGAACTAGGGCTACTCCATTTTCTCTCATTTTCACATCAGTGGTTTCGTGATGGTCTTCTGGTGGGGAGAAGCAAGAGCACAAAGAAAAAGCCCACCTCCAGTGCATTGAAAGTCAAAGCTCAGTCTGAGGGTGAACTGTTTTTTGTTTTTGGTTTAAATAAACGAATTTTTTTTTTGAGATAGAGAGATAGAGAGGGAAAAAGAGAAAGAGGGAGAAAGAGAGAGAGCACACACACACACAGGGTCAGGTAAGGGGGAAAGGGAGAGAAAGAATCTCAAGCAGACTTCATGTTGAGCATGGAGCCTGATACAGGGCTCAATCTCACAACCCTGAGATCATGACCAGAGCCAAAATCAAGAGTTGGACCCTTAACCAACTGAGCCACCCAGGTACCCTGAAACTTATTTTAAATGAAAAAATAAAATAAGGCCAATGCTAGCTTGTAATCCACTAACATTCCTTTGGACAAAGCAAATCACATCCAAACATCAATGGAGCCAAAAAATAAATTCTACCTCTCATGGTAGGAACCGCAATCATAAGGCAAAAGGTGTGGAATGGAGGACAAGTGGAAGAATAATGTGATCTATCAACCTATTCTTTTCTTTTTGAAACTAAAGCAGCAGTCAGTAACCTTCTTAGGAACCCTAGAAGACCCTACAGAATCTGATAAACCTTCTGGATTGAATGTGGGCTTTTCCACTGACTAGCTGGGAAAATTCTGGGAGATTATTCATCTTTTTCAGGTCCCAGTTCCTAAATCTGTAGAAGGGGAGAGTAAAAAACACATATAAAGCTTAGCATAATGCGCTACCCACAGTAAAATGTGCTCAGTAAATACAGGCTTTTAATACTGGGTCATTCAATAGACTTTTTTTTAGAAAAATCTATTATGAAACAGCAATCACATGAATTCTGGAGTAGCTCAACTAATATATAAAATAGACATAAGAATATTTTTGTAGATAAAAAAAATACTTTCCTATCATAAATGGGTCAATCATCAAGAAAATATAAACATTAGACTCTAACAGAAACCCCAAATAAATGAAGTAAAAACTGAAAGAACAAAAGAAAAGTAGTCAATTCAACAACAGTCAGTGGGAGACTTTAATACCCCATTTCCAATAATAGATGAAGCAAGATCAACAAGCCAATAAGAGTCCTGAATACTAATATAAAAACTAGATCTAACAAATATATCCAGAACACCTTAAAACAGCAAAATATGTGTTCTTCTCAAGTACTAATGGAAGAGTCTCCAGGATAACCATATGCCAGATATAAAACAAACCTCAAAAGATTCAAAAAGACTGAAATTATGCATATAAAAGGTTCTCCAACCAAAATGTAACAACGTGAGAAATAACAACAAAACAAAACTGGGGAAATTTACGAACATGGGGAAATTAAACAATACTTCTAAATAAACAGTGGGTATAGAATCACAAAGGACTAGAAAATATTTTTGGAGGAATGAAAACAAAACCGAAAAAAGAGATATCAAAATGTATGGAGTGTGGTGAAAGCAATAAAGGGAAATTTATAGTTGTGTTGTAAAACTTCTACACTTAAAGAGAGATTAAATCAGGGATGCCTGGGTGGCTCCATGGGTTAAAGCCTCTGCCTTTGGCTCAGGTCATGATCCCAGGGTTCTGGGATCGAGCCCCACATCGGGCTCTCTGCTCAGCAGGGAGCCTGCTTCCTCCTCTCTCTCTCTCTGCCTGCCTCTTTGCCTACTTGTGATCTCTGTCAGTCAAATAAATAAATAAAACCTTTAAAAAAAAGAGAGAGAGAGAGGTTAAATCAGTAACTTAAACCTACTGTAACAATTTTTTTTAAGTTTTATTTATTTGAGAGAGACAGAGTTAGAACACAAGAGTGAGAATGAGAGAAAGAGCGCCTAAGCAGGAAGGTGAGAGACAAGCAGGCTCCCCTCCCCACTGGGCAGGGAGCCTGACTCAGGGCTCAGTCCCGGGCCTCTAGGATCATGACCTGAACTGAAGGGAAAGGCTTAACAGACTGAGCCACCCAGGCACCCCCACTTTAACAAGTTTTTAGAAAATAAACTAAACCAAAAGCAAACAAAAGAAAGAAAATAATACAGATGGGTTGAGAAATAAGTGAAACACAGGAAAGACAAAAGAGAAAAATCGAAAGAACCAAAGCTGATTTTCTAAAAAGATAAAAAGATAAAATAAAAATTGACAAACTCTGAGCTAAAATGACCAAGAAAATAATTCAAAGTACCAAAATCAGGAACGAAAAAGGCAGAGTAATAGAACCCTTACAGAAAAAGTATCGTCAAGGAATAGTATGAACTGTGTGCTGACAAATTAAATAACTAAATGAAATGGACATATTCCTAGAAAGTCACAAACAATCAAAACTGTCTCAAAAAACAGACAATCCGAATAAGCCTATAAGAAGTGAAGAGACTGAATTAGTAGTTTAAAAACTTCCCACAGAAAAAAAAGTAATAAAAATAAAATAAATCTTCGCACAAAGAAAAACCCAGGCCCAGGTGGCTTCATTGGTAAATTCTATGCCAAACATTCCAAGAAAAATTAACAATGTTTCACAAAATCTTCCAAAGCATAAAATAAAAACACCTGGAAGACTTCACAATTCATCTTACCAGACTACTATTTCTCCTGGTAACACCAAAACATCACAGGAAATGAAAACTACACATTAATACCTCTTATGAAAAAGATACACCAAAAAAATGCACTAACAGAATACTAGAAAATCAAACCCAGCCAATACATAAAAGGAATTATACACCATGACCAAGGAGGATTTATCCTAGGAATTCAAGACTTGTCAACATCCAAGCATCAAATGATGAAATATACTAAGTTATTAAAAGACAAAAATCACATGATCATCTTAATATGCAGAAAAATTATTTGAAAAAAATCCAACAGTCTTTCATGATAGTAACATTAACAAACTAAAAATAGAAAGGAACTTCCTCAAACTGATAAAGGGTATCTAGGAAAAAACTACAATAAGTCTGTCTACTCTTGCTACTTCTATTCAACATTGTACTTACTGAATGTTCTAGCTGGAATAATTGGGCAAGATAATAAAATAAAAAGCACACAGATCAGAAAGAAGTAAAACTATCACTGTTTCCAGATGTTATGATCTTGTACACAAAAAATGCTAAAAAAGTTACTTAAAAACCTTAAATTTTATGCAAGTTTAATAATAGTTTAAATTCTAGTAACAATTTTATAATAGTTTAATAAGAGAGTTCAGCAAAGAGGCGCCTGCGTGGCTTGGTGGGTTGAAGCCCCTGCCTTCGGCTCGGGTCGTGATCCCAGGATCCTGGGATCGAGCCCCAAGTCAGGCTCTCTACTCAGCAGGGAGCTTGCTTCCTCCGCTCTCTCTGCCTGCCTCTCTGCCTACTTGTGATCTCTCTCTCTGTCAAATAAATAAAATCTTAAAAAAAGATAAAAAAAAAAAAAAGAGAGAGAGAGAGTTCAGCAAAGTTGCAGGGTACAAATGTGCAAAAAAACAATTGCATTTCTATATACTAACAATAGGCAATCAAAAAGTGAAATTAAGAAAACAACTCAGGGCACCTGGCTAGTTCAGTGGAGCATGCTACTCTTGATCTTGGGGTCTTAATTCAAGACCCATGTTGGGCCTGGAGCTTACTTTAAAAAAAAAGAGAGAGAGAGTGAAAAGAATTCCATTTTTGAAGCATCAAAGAGAAAGGAATACTTAGTTACAAGTTTAACCAAAAAACTACAAAATTAATGTTCTGAAAACTACAAAACACCCCTAAAAGAAATTAGAAGATGAACTATATAAATGGGAAAACACTGTGTTCACAGATCTAAAGGCAGGCAGTACTCCCCAAACTGATGTACTGATTCAACACAAACACTACCAAAGTTCCACCTGGCTTCTCCGAATAGACAAATTAATCCTAAAATTCACACTGAAATGGAAGGGACTCAGACTAATAAAAATTATCTTAATAAAGAACAGCAAAGTTGGAGGAGTCACACTTACCGGTTTGAAAATTTCACATTGTAATCAAGACATACTGGCATAACAATAAACATACAGATCAACAAAACAGAATCGAGGGTCTAGGGGAAAAGAGAAAAAAAAAAAACTTAAAAAACAAAGGAGTGTATCTTCAGGACCTTAGGTTAGGCAGTGCCTTCTTCCACACAACAGCAAAGACAAAATAGTAAGCTGAATGTTATCAAAACTATAAAAATTTAAAAATCAAATATCCAGGGTCCACTGGGTGGCTAGTCAGTTAAGCGTCTACCTTCAGCTCTGGTCATGATCCCCAGAGTCTTATCAAGCCCCACACTGGGCTCCCTGTTCAGTGGAGAGTCTGCTCCTCTCTGAGTGCCCTTTCCCTCCCAGCTCGTGCTCTCTCGCTCGCTCTCAAACAAAATTAAAGGGGAAAAAAAGGCATATCCAATTAGGAATCTGTATATACAATCTGAATATACAAGAACTCTTACAACTCATTAATAAAAAGATGAACTAAAAATAGATACAGGATCTGGATCTGACTAGATAGTTCTCCAAAGAAGATATACAAGTGACTAAATATATACACTCAAAAATATTAACGTCGGGGCGCCTGGGTGGCTCAGTGGGTTAAAGCCTCTGCCTTCAGCTCAGATTCTGGGGTTCTGGGATCGAGACACTCATCAGGCTCTCTGCTCAGCGGGGAGCCTGCTTCCCCCTCTCTCTCTGCCTGCCTCTGTGCCTACTTGTGATCTCTGTCAAATAAATAAATAAAATCTTTTAAAAAAATATTAATGTCACTAATCATCAGGATAATATAAATGAAAACCACAAAGAGATTATACACAGTAACATAGCTATAATAAAAATAATACATAATAAAAAAGATAAAACAGTAACAAAGTTGGCCAGGATCTGGAGAAATTAAAACTCTCATATTCTGCTTGCGAGATGTAAAATAGTAGGGCTACTCTGGACAACAGTGGGCAATTCAAGAGGTTTAATAATATTACTACATGACCAAACAATTCCACTATGTATGTAAGCAAGGGAAATGTAAATACCACACGAACACTTATACAGAAATGTTCTCAGCAGCATATTCAAAATAACCAAAGTGTACAGACAAAACAAATGTCCATCAACTGATAAATGCATAAATAAAATGTGGTATA